CTCAGATGAGGATCCTCTCTCGCCAGTATGCTCAACCCCAGCTTCTCAGGCAGTGGCAGGGAATAAGGACAGAGAATGTGTCTGATGTAACTATGAAGACATTTTAGATTGTCCCACCTATGCCTCATTTCTCAAGCCTCACCACAGGGCACTGCCTCATCCCCTGTTGAGATGGTGACCATGCCCACCCTTGGAGCCCTGGCCAGGTGAGAGTCTGCAGGGGCCTGGGGTGCATCCTGGGGCTGACCTTCATTCACTGTTCTGGCACATTGGTTCTAGTTCTCCGTGGCTTTCAAGCCCCCCCCCAACACTCTACCTGGCCTCTCCTCCACAGCCTGCCACCTCTGTGGTTCCAGAGTAAGCACTCTTCTTTCCCTGACCCCTAACTTGGGCGCTCTGTTTAAGTGAGGTGTTCCTGTAAAGGGGCTGCCATCTATCACTCCCTGGCTTTCCTGGTGATTAGTAAGTGGACCTCCCTGTTAGCTCACACTCCTCTCTTGCTCTCTTCTTGGGAAAGTCCCTCACTCAGGGTGGTCACTCTGGGGAGCTGTCTCTGAAGGTCTCAGCTGTCCCTGGGGCAACCTCCCTCGGATTAGGTCGGTCAGTTATAGACACACTTGTCCTGAGATTTCCTCATGAGCCTATTTTGTGAGTCAACTTTGTGTGTGTCCTTGGGAATTCTTCTTGAGGGCATTTGTTAGGCTGACGGAGACCCTTCGAATTTTCCCTTCCCATTTGACCAACTTCTCTCCTTCCCATTCACACCTGATGCACGGCCCCTGTCTTTGACTTATTTTCTGGGTTGCATTTTGTCATGGGAGGAGGCCAACAACCAAGTGAATAGGGACCTCGCTTTGCAGGAATTTCTCTGGGAAGAAGACAGAGTTCCTTCTAACAGCAATTACTGCTTCTTGTTTCTTCCGCAGAAGTTAAAAAGTCCCAACTGGTGCCCCTGATGCGCAGGGCTACTGATCCAAACATCCTCTTGCCCGATCCAAGGGTTAAAAGGATGCACTCCTGGAAAACTGCGTCCTCTTTAAAAGACAACGCCCCTGCATGGGGTCGAGGCCCTCTGGGGCAGCAGCTGGGTCCTGGTTGGGGGGGGGGAGCCTAGGGAGGTGTCAGCCGCCTGGAGAGATGCTCTCTGGACCCAGACGGGCCTCACCCTGGACACTGGCGAGAGGTGGAAGCCGGAGGGCTCGCAGCTGGGCTCTGGCCCTCCCTCGCTGGGTCCAGCCCGGGTCCATCACGTCGTGCCCGCCGCCTCCTGGAATAAGGCAGGAAGGATGCAGCGGACTGGAGTTCCCCAGGAGAGCTGCCGCGCTGTGGTCCCCAGGGAGCCTAGCCCGGGCCAGCGCACCCTCTCACCCCTCGGTGCCCTCTGCGCGCCTCCCGGGCCGCGGTTCACGCGGCCCCAGGATTAGCATCTCTGTGAAGTCCCGCACACAATGCCTGCCATGCGGGAGATGAAAGCGGGGAGCCGGGTGGCGGGGGGCACGTTTGAAGTCCCCTAAGGTGGGGCCGCGGGAATCCGAGGGAGCAGATGGTAGGAGATAAACCAGGTGAGACGCTCCCGGCGGCCCGCGCCTCCCTCCCAGCGCCCGAATCTGGGGTTCCCTGACGATGTGGCCTCCCAGGTCCCGAGCCAGCTGGACGGAAGTGAACGCCAACCCTGCGACACCTCCGACCTTTAGCCAGCGCCCTCACTGCCCCTCTTCGCCCCCCTCAGGCCTCACCCCAGGGAAGCGCAGCCTTAGGCCTCCGCCTGGCTCTCCCTTCTCTCCTGCTGGAGCCCGCGGGTGGGCAAACTGCGCCTGGACCCTCTCCCTTGGCCCTCGGGGTGCTCCTGGGGAGACGCGCCCCGAGCGTCAGCTGGAGATTCCAGGGCGAGGGGTGGGTGATCTGTTGAGGCGGGTTTCACTAACTCCCAGCCCCAACTATCAGGGCTGCTCCGAAAAAGAACTGGAACCCCAAACTGTGCCCTCGAACGCCTTGGCCGTGGCTCTGGAAGCCCAGCCCCGCGTGGGGTGTGCCCGGCTCCACGAGCTCGCAGCTTGCGCCTGTGCGCGGTCGGGCGGCGGCTCTGAGTGGGCAACTCGCACAGCCGCGCGCGCCCCCGGACCAACTCCCACGAGGGCTCACCCCGCGGGCCACCTGGGTGTGCCTCTGCCTGTCCCTCCGCGCTGCGGGAGCAGCGCAGGTGTGAAGGGTCACATTTCTCGGTCTTCAGGCTGGCGGAGAACATTTTCCGACTCCCCGGAGAAAAACTCTGGAGAAAAAAAAAGGAAAAAAAAAAAGCGCCCTCCCCTTCACGTTTCTGGCAGTTGTTTTGTTTCTGCTACTTTGAGGGTGGGGACAAAAAGCAAAGTTTCTACATAAGAATGTCAAGGCACACACAGTCCCGCAAAGTGTTTCTTCTTCAGGGCGCTTTAGAGAAACCCCCTGTCCCGCTTTCTGCATGGTCAAGGAGCAGAATAAAGAAGCCAAAGACTTTTATTTTATACACCACTTGATCTTTGCTTGGGAAACTCTATTAATTGAATGGGCTTGCCTTTTTTGCCAGTCCCCTTTATCATTATTTATGGGCTTTAAATTGTTTAAAGTTCCCTTGACGTTCAATTTACAAGTTTGGGGACTTTTTTTGTTCCGCCTTTTGTCCTGGAGAAAGACATCGTGTTGGAAGTGCTTTGAAAAGCCAAACATGAGAGGTTGGCAATGAAAGGGAAGCGGGCGAGATCCCTTTTAATTCCGTCCTGTTGGTGAATGGCTCTTTTACATAATTGCAGGAGCTATTTCAAAGCCAGCCAAGGGCTGACTTCACTTAGAACCACATGGAGTCTATTTTGGGCTTTCAGATTAAAAAAAAAAAAGCTGAATAAAATAGTTTAAAAAGATGAGGCTTCAATGCTTTCTGCTACTTGCAAATTGGTGTGTCTGATGGGGAATTTTACACAAGCACCCCTTTGTAAGTGCGTCTTGGGCTTGGAGGCACTATTCTGGGTTAGCTGGGTGTGAATCCCAATTGCCCTTCCATAAATAAAACCCATCCCAAGTTATTTCCCAACTATTGCCAGGAGCAAGAGCTGGGGCAATGACCGAATGATCAGGCCACTCAAAATCCCTATAAATAAAAACAACTCGGTTGCCCGAGAAACTAGCCTATGTCCTGGGTCTATGCGGCTGGCGACGAGACCAGCCAGCGAGGCCCGTAGGTTTCCACGCGTCCTCAGAGACTCGGGGTGCCCAAACTGCCGCTGGAAGCGCTGCTCCTCCTCCTGCCTGGGCTTGACAGGCCAACGCAAGTTTGCTGCATGAATATTCATTTACTTGTGCGTTTTATATTTTACACTCAGCCTTCATACACCTGCATGCAAACGCTGACTGGGGCAGCCGCGAACCAGGAAGCCATCCTAATTACCATCATTTCTCCTGAACGTCTAAGCCGCATTTTCAGTGGTTTAATAAGATCCTGATATTAGCTTGACACCAGCGGAGTAAAGTGCCCTGGGTCTGGGCCATCTTCATCTGCGATGGAGATTTCAGGGAGAAAAAGTTCCCAGAACTTAACTGGAGCCGAGAACCCTGCTCTCTCTCCGGGCAAGTCCAGCCTTTTTCTTAATTGAAGGGGGGCGGGGCTCTCCTAGCAAACTTGCGAAGATCTCTGCTGGGTGGTTTTCCCGCGCAGCCTGGGCCGAGCTCTGCCGCGCAGGACTCTGCAGTTTGAGGTAGTTACAAGCTAAGTAGGTAGGAATCCGAAGGAGGGACAAGCCGTGTACCTGTGGCTCCCGGCCCATAAATCTCTCCCAGGAACAGAGGTCTCTAAAGGCTTTTGTTACCCACAGTCCCCACACTCTGAATGTTTTGCAGGTAGCTGAGGTGCCTCGAATGAATCCAGTTAATCACGCCGAGACACAGGGATTCTTTTATGACAGGGACAATCGTTTTCTAAGCAGTTAAGCATTAGATGAGAAAATATTACTGCCTTGCACTCGAGAATAGCATACTAGTAAATAAAATTCATATTGATGAGAATTATCTGAACTCACTAATAAAAGATTAGTATTATAACCCCTGCAGTCAATACTTTTCATGGCAATTTATAGATGCAAATAATATGCCATCAAATTACTTCAAGTATAGCTATAATTCAACGGACCTAAATCTTATTGCTGAACTTTAAATGTGGAATCATCACCAAAATAATCAGAGGAATACCTGTCCCTCTGGAAGTCATCAGGTAATGGAAGCCCCTAGAACAATACCTTTGCCCCAAGTAGCAAAGTGGCTGGCAAACCTGCCTAGGTCAGATGCCTAACAGCTTACACAGATACAGCAGTGGCCGGTGGAGTAGGAGAAGGGACCCCGCTGTAGCAAGTAAATCAAGGAAACGTTTATTCTTAGTATTCGAAAACAAGGTAATGGCACTCGAGACTGTAACCATCTCCTAATGAGAGGGAGCATTTATTATTCTCATGCAGAAACCAGCCTTTTGCCCTGGGCTGCGATCTTTTTCCTTTTTCTTCTTTTGTGGAAATGGAGAGACCCCACGACACCTCCTTCCCCGTGGACCCCAATGGGAATTAATCTCCCCTCACGCTGCCTAGGCCACCACGGGTCTGGCCGTGAAGTGAGGGGAGGCAACACAGGCAGCGTCCTAATGAATTCCTTTCAAGCCGCCTGCTGCCGGAGCCATCTATTACTGCGGCCTGGAGTGGAGAAACGCGCTGGAGACGTCTTTGTCCGGGTGACGGTGAGGAGGGGAGAGGAGGGTAGGAGGAGGGTGGCTGGCAGCCCCGCCGGCGAGTTTTCTCAGCACCCCAGGGCGCCGAGGACGCACCCTCCGGTCTTACCTCCTGGGCCTGACGGGTGGGCAAAGGCTCTCGGGCCAGACTCCTGGCTGAGGAAATGGACTGGGATTAAGACGTCCCAGGGGTGGGGGTGCTTGGGGTTACAGCGAAAGAAAGAGCAAGAACGAGAAAGAAGAGCTTCAAAGAATCGGGTCGATAAATTCATAAAGATCGATTTATCTTTATCTCCCAATTAAATGTGCTTGTAAGTGATACATAACACACGTCCAACACGGGCCAATTCCCCACCACTAGCTCCTCGGCGTGAGCTGGTTTTTAATGACCAATGTAACAATGCCCTCCTCTCCTCCCTGGCCGGGTGCTGTGGGCAATTCGGGTAGGACGTCTAGACCCAGGAAGTTGAAACCGAGGCCCTGGAGATGCGTGGAAGCCCTGCGCGCGCGGTACTGCGTTTTGCACGGTCTGCCCCTGCCACGAAATGATTCCTTTCTAAAAGGGAACAGGAGAGCTGAAAAGTTTGTTTTAACATAAAGGAGGAGATAAGAACATCCCAAGTCCTCCCTACCCCCTCAATCCCCAAATTCCAGTGTCTTTACCATTGTCGAAACGGGGAAATATCTTGAGGGAATCAGCTTCATCCTGCAGTCGAAGGGGAATCGCGTGCCCTCGAGTCCTCTCGCTGGAAACCGGGCGGCGGCGCCAGGGTGAGCGCTCCCTCCGTTCCCAACGTGCTTAATTAGCGCCTATTTACAAAACGCAGCTTTTATTTGAGCAAACATCATAAAGCTTTCATCAGGATAATCTCACGTTATACAATCCGGGGGCATAGCAACTCCCCCTTCCTCCCTCCCCGAGGATGGAGCAGATAAAGGACTCGCTTTATTATCATAATTATCGTGGTTGTTATTTTGGTGCGCGCTGGCAAAGTGGGTAAATAGGTGCGATGATTAAGAATGTCATGAAAAATGAGAAGGGATCGTTCACGGGAGGACCCAGCTCCGAATAGGGGACCAGCAGCCTCCCCTCCCCGCAGGAGTGTAGGGATGCAGCTAGCAACTCGGCAGGTTCCCAGCAGCAGGCGGGGCTGACAGTTCCTGGCCCGCGCGCCCTGGGGGTGGATCTGCAGGGGTAAGACCCTCCCCCTAAATCCAAGAACCTTGTCCGAACCCCAGGTTCAGCCGGAGCACCAGAGACAAGGTGAGCCTCAGGATTGTTCCACTGCAAATATAAGAGGAAATAAAACGCTCTCGGCCCATCCATGGCGGGTGAGAGCAAGGAAGGCGCCTTTTGAAGCGGCCTTAACACGGCTTCAGGGCCCTAGGGTGTGAGCCTGGGTACCAACGGCCCCTCTCAAGTTTGCTCTGCGCGATCCCGGCGCTAGGGATCCTGCTTTCTGGCTCAAGCGCTCCGACGGTGGCGCCCGCAGCTAGCTCTCCGCCAGCCAGGAAGGAGGGGCGGAGTCTGATTCGCCCCGCCCACGCCCTGCTCAGCCAATGGGGAACGGCGCCTGGCCCCACGTGAGGCGGGATCTGCTGGGCAGCAGGCAAAATGTGAATGAGAAAGAGGAGCGCGATTTAAAGGTGCTGGCGGCGCCCGCCAGAGACAAGTGCGCCGGCTTCCCGCGCTCCCCAGCGGCCCGCGGGAGGCGACGAACTGCGGGAAGGACAAACGGACGCACCGACGGCTGCTAGTTGGGCAAAGAGCCGCAGACGTGAAGCTCTCGGACTCCTACCGACTCGCAGCGGGCAGCGGCTCCAAAGAGCCCGCAGGGCCGGAGCGCCCTCTCCAAACGCCGGCGCACAGCCTCACCCCACGCACCTCCCGCGCCCGCGCCCGCCGGTCATGCAGTGGACCCAGGACTGAGTGGCCGCGGAGTCTGCTCTCCGGGTCCCGCTTGGCGCCTTCCCGGCGCTCCGGGTAGTGCTCGCGTCGTCTGGTGGGCTTCCCGGCAGCGGCGCGGCGCGGGGACTTTTCGTCTCTCCCTGGCCTCTCCCCAGCGCGTCTATGAGCGCAGCGTTCCCGCCGTCGCTGATGATGATGCAGCGCCCGCTGGGGAGTAGCACCGCCTTCAGCATAGACTCGCTGATCGGCAGTCCGCCGCAGCCCAGCCCCGGCCATTTCGTCTACACCGGCTACCCCATGTTCATGCCCTACCGGCCGGTGGTGCTGCCGCCGCCGCCGCCGCCGCCGCCCGCGCTGCCCCAGGCCGCGCTGCAGCCCGCGTTGCCGCCCGCTCACCCTCATCACCAGATCCCCAGCCTGCCCACCGGCTTCTGCTCCAGCCTGGCGCAGGGCATGGCGCTCACCTCTACGCTCATGGCCACGCTGCCGGGTGGCTTCTCCGCGTCGCCCCAGCATCAGGAGGCGGCGGCCGCCCGCAAGTTCGCGCCTCAGCCTCTGCCCGGCGGCGGCAACTTCGACAAGGCGGAGGCGCTGCAAGCCGACACCGAGGACGGCAAAGGCTTCCTCTCCAAGGAGGGCTCGCTGCTCGCCTTCTCCGCTGCCGAGGCGGTGCAGGCATCTCTCGGTGAGTGTGAGGCGCGCGCAGCCGGAACGTGGGGACGCGAGGACAGGGGGCGGGCCAGCTCCAGCCCCCCGGGGAACCTGGGGGCTACACCATGCCCCCGCCTGACCCCGGCTGCCGCGTAAGGCCACGCAAAAACTCAACAAGCAGGATCTCTGGGGAAGGGGCATTTAGCGCTCTCCCCCACCCACAGCCAGCTGCTGCTTGGGGCTGCATATTGGTCTGCGCATTGAGCCCAGTCCACTCCAACTCCACGAGGACCTGGGGTCCCGGGTTGATTGAAGCCTTAAGGAGATGCCGGTGGGCAGTGCGTCTCATCTGCGCATTTGTCCAGGGGCGCTCAGACTTATTAAACCCTTTCACTGGGCTGCTGCTTGCCTCGGAGACCCGAATTCTTGGGAGACTTGTGTGTGTGTGTGTGTGTGTGTGTGTGTGTGTGTGTGTGTGTGTGTGTGTCTGTCTGGTGGGAACTTCTCCTAAGGCTATGAAA